GGCTCACATCCCGCGACGGCTTTCCGTTTGCATTCCGCTGGTGTCAGTCAAGCGGTAATCATACCAGAAGAATTATTCTATTAGGATACTAAAACGCATGCGTAGATCTGAGTAGAGAGCAAACTTCATTGGAAAAGAAAGGGGACGCATGTATTTTTTATTGACTTTGTATGGGCCAAGTGGGACGTACTCCTTGAGAGCAACTGCTGTAATATGTGTTAAAATGTCGTGTTCCTTGTAACTGTTTGTGCAACACGGTACCTGTGTTGTACGCTATGATTGGCGTCGAAATCGGTAGATTTATAAATGGAAGCCCGAAATTTGAAATTGGCTTGGAGCCGTATGGAAAAAAGACACAGGATAATTTTACGGAGACATTTCTTTAGCAAACAGTAGTTTACCCCTGCACCCACAAAAGCAACCTTCCCTAGTTATTCAGCACCCTGCAAGTTCAGCAGGAGGAACGAAATCAATATTTATTAGGCCACCACATTTTGAGTTTAAACTTAGGGGATGAATAGGCTGCCAATTAACGGTATGAGACGGAGAACATCAATTCCTTAGGAGGTTAAGACTACCAAAGCACGGCTTCATTTCACTTCTCCGCACTCTTAACAATTTTCAGCTAGGTGGCCAAGTATGTGTGGCTGAATAGATGTGATGGAGGGTGAATTACAACCTAGCTCTCGGAGACCGTTTCTGCATTTAGACTTTTAGGCTCTTGTACTTCATTTGGAGGAAATTATCTGCATCGGTGGCAACCTTGGTAACAGTCAAGCAGGACCCGGCGTGTATGCTTTTTCAATGAGTTCGTTGGAACCAGGAGCTTATGGCTAACGCTATGAACGATTTGTTTTAGACAACCACAACGTAGCAAATTAGAGGGCAGTGGTAGAAGTATAACGCGTTTATTCTAGGCACTGTAGTGGGCGAGTTTGGTGGGTAAATCAAACGAGTACATTAAAAGTTATTCACCATTCAATTGCAGTCAACAGTGAATATGAAGTTTACAACAGATAGAAACTATAACCAGGTTTACTGGGCGCTGCAAGCCCTAGCTACTAGACCTAAATGACCATCGCTGTAATAAATACTACAGCCTTCTTGCTTGTAAGAGTTTACGCTGTTTGCGCGTAATATATCCACTCTATTACCTAATGCAGGGATCATACGTCGAGTTTCATGCGGGAAAGGCAGATCACTAGATTGCCTCCCGTGATGCACTCCTGGTAACGCTCGACAGAATAATGATAAGCCCGCCTACAGAAGAGGAAGCATGAAGGCATTTGAGGATGCAACCTGGCCAGCTCCTCTGAATCTCTACTTGAAAGAAAGGATAGAAGTTAACCCAGGGTCATATTCTTTGGAATGTGGGAAAAACCGTTTTCGACAGACCTGAAAGTTAGACGCAACTTACCTTTTGGTTTATTTTGGACCATATGTATCTGGCTTGCATATTCTACTGCAATACACTGTTTTGATGGCCTTCACTTATACCTCACAACGGGTACTTATCAAACCCGCAGCATCGAATGATGACGCAGATTGTCCATTTCTCCTATTTGGGATTTTTCCTCTTCATGCTAATCGGGACCAGGCGTTAGCAACACCACTCTATTCGTACGTGAAAGATAACTATCCAGTCGATAACACGCCCCTCAAATCGCGAAACAAGTGACACCACTTCCTCAAACCTACCGGTCTATCTCCGGCCAGTGAGTCTTGAGCGTCTCAACTGCCACACTGCCCTGTTTGTCGGTTCTTTAGGAGGTCATTGCTTAGGATACATTTTCTTGGTTCCCAATACACATTTGAGGCCGACAGTCAAAGTCACTGGACAAGTTCGGAGGACCAAGTGACAAATGTTTGACGGTAAGCCAAAATAAGATTGTTTTACTTTCTATGCTGCCCTTCCACTGCATTCACTCTTGGATTTCCCTGTCATTGTTGTGCAGATTTTGTGGTACGCTTTTGTGTGTGCTGCTCTCTTAAAGAAGCTATCGCCCCATCTGTCTGGTGTACGCGTAGTGATCGCGCGGAAAACACACGTTGGCTCCGTTTTGCCACAAGGCAGTCCCAGAACTGTCGGCCATCAGACTTCATCTGTTCTCTTAAAAAGTAAAAATGGTGTGGCAAGCGCAGAAATAAGACAGCCAGAAGCAGTTTTTCAAAAACTTCAGCACCGTCCCTGGCGGATACAGATGACATCGTAAGGTATGATGACTGCAGCATCCGTATTGAAGGGGCACCACTCACCAGTGTAGAACTCTCTTGCAGCCTATGTCAGCAACGGGCATATTACCAATGTGAGGGCGAAAAAACCCAACTACACCATAATTTCACGAAAAACAACCGTGCAACCAGTTCTAGTGCATCTAAGAGGAAGGCAGAAGGATACGTACGAGGGAACTTGAGGAGCTACTCTCCACAGCGAAGGCACCATCTGCGTTCCTGAAGGAAGTAAGGGAGACGTCAATGGATAACGTGGCAGTAGCCGAACGCGGAGATAAGTCTATGGCCTTGGTGACTTGCATTTGGGGAGACAGAATGACATCGAACTTCCGTATCCCTCATGCAGCAACAGGGAACGAAGAACTCTTGGAAATAGATGGCGTCAGCGGGATCCACAGCAAAACGTAGCCAGAAATTTTCTTGACATTGAGTGTGAGAGGCAGCTCGAAAAAGTGCATACCAAGGATGCCTGAAAGTAAGACACAGTCTATGCTGAACACAGTCGGCAGGAAGGCCTTGTCAATCACCTTGTTCAACGTCCATGTTTCAACAGATTTGCCGTTAGCCAAGATGGAAGAGTTTGATGGTCAGAGGTGGGCCAACTGCCGTAAGACGCTAGGACCCTCTTACTCCTTGTAATACTGCATCGCCTGTTTCGAGGCAGCTAGGCACCCAGAGATAATCTGCTACCCTTAGGAGCTTTACTGAACGCCACGAAAAACCTTGATGACATCTGCCTTCCCTAATGTCACCCGGAGGTCGTCAACGTTACAAAACTTTTGCCAAGCCTGGGGAATTGTGGTCGCTGGGGTAGGAGGAGAGAAAGACCGCAGTTTTGAATCCAAATAGAAACACCACGATGGTTGCAGACGGAGTTTCAGGGCTGTTAGACGAATAACCTGCCGATGAAAGGCACCTTCCTGACGTCGAACAATGGTAGTGGCTTTCAAACAAACCAGGCACTGACAATTTACTGTCGAAGAGCGTCAGAAAACTACCGAAAGCAAACCATCCGAATTGTATCTCCGCCCACAGACTACTTGCCATCCACTGGGTTTCATGAGTTCTACTTACGGTTTTACATGCATGATGTAACGCGAGAGACCTTGCTGGCAGTGCAGTACACGTGCTTGAAAGTACTTCAAGATCCATTGGGTAAAAAGATAGACAGCGAACGCCAAGACCCATCAAGTCGATGGTATTCACACGGATGCAAGCTAATGGGTCAGGTTCATCGGATAATGACATTTCTGCTACTACCGTCCCTCACAAACTGGGTGAAAAACCCTCTAAAAGGTAGTGGTGCCAGTCATGCAAGGTTTTCTGGCCCAAGGCCGGGGACCAACCAAGTTTGAGCTCCTCTTGCAGAAATGTGCGAACAGATCTTCTGCTTTGCACACTCTAACATGCGTATACGGCAATGCCAAGTGAAGATACTCTGCAACTGGAGACACTGAAAATCTTCCCTTGTCACAGTGAGATCGACTATGACGCCGAGAGAGACCAATTCACGACTGCATCATGGCCTGGAGATTAGGTTTATCAGTAGCTGAGTCACGGAACTTGGAAGCTACGTCAGACGAGAAGGAGGTCCTAGTTCGGGTAGCCTTCATTGTGCGGGTGGCCCAAGTTCTTGATCTGTAAACGAATTTACCACCAATGCAGCATAAGATCCTGCAGCGATGGCTTTGGTTATCAAACTCAAAAGGCGCAGAGGCCGGCCACTAATTATTCGCATTCATACGAGAGCATGAAAGAAGAGGATAGGGTAACCAGGCAGAATAGTACACACCGGTGCACATTGGCTAGCTGACTAGACGATCGCTTACGAGTAACGCAACGCAGTACGACAACATGCCAAATGGCGTGGATGCTTGACCGCGTACCTTCAACCTAGTCAGTTCAATAAAAAGGCGGACGGTAGGGTTGAATCTCGTCCAACTGTAGGCTGTTGATTTTGGGTAATTGTTTGGAGACTCAGTGCCTCTTTTTGCCCATCAGGAACCTCCCGCTTACCTATTTCCATTTTCATGCTATTCCTATCAAGGCACCAGGACAGAAGGGTGCCGAGAAACATTTGCAGTCTTCTCTGTACCCCGCAGCATCTTGACGACAGCTGCGACATACGGATTGCACTCAATCAGCTGGGATATGGACTAGGTTGATACAGTCACCAAATTCCTCACAACCCAACACAGTCAGCTCTATGAAAAATCTGTTTATCACCACTATAATCGGGAACATTACCCAACATTGTACTTCCAGTTACCTTACCCTACTAGTAGCACTACTATCTCTACTCCCATAGCCTATCGTATAATCTTACTAGCTCCTTCTCTTTTTCCTGACTCCATAGTCTAACCCTGTCTATTAAGGTTCTACTTATTACTTATCATTCACAAGTCTACATAGGCTTCTCCTTCCCTTCCGTTCCGCTTCCCTTCACCTTGTTTTTTCACTTTTTCCAGCTACACACTTCTTCTCCCTTGGTTTCGCTGGAAATACTTCATATCATTTTACGACCACCCCGAAAAACTGTCTAATGTAATGACACATGAGGAACCCATCTTCACCACAGTCCTTGGAGAAGTTATACAACCCCCACAAATTTAATCAGCACCCAACAGCCCGTCAGGCTAACCAGAGCTACAGTAGGCAGTTGTGTAGGTCTACTGCATTGGAATCCTTCAAAGAGATCTAGGAGCGAGCGTAAAAAAATGAATTGGTCTACACTAGTTAGTGAAAAGATATTGGTTATTGGAAGATTGTTTGTAATATTGGCGTTTGTTCAAAGCTTTTGGTACGAGTGTCGTCTGTTATCTCCTTTTGTTACCGTGTCAACAAATGGTGCTGTATTTCGAGTGTGAACTAGTTCAGCCTCCGTACCACATATACATGGGGGAGGATAAACATGAGAATGATGAGCTTATCCGTTGGGGTTGGCCAGAAGACGTTTGGTTTCATGTAGACGCTCTGTCATCTGCTCATGTTTACCTACGACTCAAAGAAGGCGAAACCTTAGATGATGTTCCTGCAGCAGTTATACAAGACTGCGCACAGCTAGTCAAGGAAAACAGTATTCAGGTTGGTTTGATGTAAAGTAAATATATAAGTGAACTCCTCATAATATATATAACCACGGAAACTTCGAAGGGTAGCATTAATGCATCGTGCGGCAGAATAACAACAGTTCTTGTGTAGTTTCCCGGTTTCTCGCCCTGTGCTAAAACTCGTGCTTCGGCCTAAGTCTAGGGACGTATTTTCTAACAAAACTTTGGATTTTACAAATAAAGCTGCTAGGTACTTTTATAGTCGCTTAATAGCTTCATGCTTCTTCAGTCAAATTTTCTGGTAAGGATTTTAGTATAGGGTCGTCGACGAAGCAACATTAGGACTTAGCTGTAGCTGTACCCATTTCTCATCATCCACTGCTGTTCGCAGTTATTGCAGAAGCTGTTAATCTATGAACGCTTAAGTTGCTGTCGCTCTTAGCCTTTGTCAAATGCATTTAGGGCGAGTCTTTGTGCATCAGTCTTGACGAGCTAACGGTAATCCACTGGTTTCTGACATCCTTTGGTTATAGGTTATCAGCTTTCGTTATTGCCGTTTTTTATTCAGACTGAATATTATTTGTTCCCATGTGAATAGGAATGGCTGCATTCGAATTATTGGTAGTTTGTATTTTCCCTAAAACTGCACATGATGTTCTCATCTACTAGTCGAGCACAGAGAGGCTTTGATATCCTTTTTTCTCTGTCCAGTAAGCTGAAGTCGATCGTATACCAATCAACCGTTGTGGACTTTTGGAACACTGGGCCGAGGACTTCAAAAGGTAATCCAACTGGCATACGATCCATTCACTTCAGTAAGCCAGTCACTTATTGCTTAGACTTATGTAAGAAAACAAATATGTGAGTAAACAGACATAACTCCAGAGCTCCATCTATGTTGTATATATGGTTTATTTAGTTTATTGTTTTATGCGTTTGGTTTTCACCGGATGAGTCACAGTTTCAAACTAATCACTACCGAGAATTGGGCAGCTAGGTAGTATGTCTAACCCTTACAGTAGGTGTGGCTCATTGCCTACTGTAAAAGTGTGGCAACTTGAACCGATGCACTTGTGAATGAGGTTCTACGTTGATTTTGTCAGTGCCAGTCCTACTGCGCAAATGTGCACGAGATTGCTGAGTGTATTTGAGATTCCGGGTGAAAGCGTTTTACCGTATGCCTTTTCAGGAACCTTACGGTATCAGCGTTTGGGTTTTTTGGCGTTGGACCAAGTGCTTGAGCAGATACACCAGTCCACTGTATCCTTGTTAAGGGTCATATATACGTCATATGTTATGTTAGAAGTGAGGGGCAAGAAAGACGCTCATCGTCTCTACACATGTTAGAAAAACTGCAGCTCGGATTCTGTTAAGAATAAATTCTACCACCAATTGAGTAACTTCTACTTGAAGCGCTTGATAGACATCGTAGTGCTAACTGGGGATCTAAATATGTAGACCGGATATATTGATTCATTGGGGAGCCTTTTTACTAGGTCGCCACTCAAACAATGGCTAGTCTTCTGCAGCTGTGTAATCACAATCTACTTCTTGCCAGCGCCAACTTCTGACATAACCATCGTCGTTGCACTACCTCCCTTCTTCCCTCTGCCACTCAAGATTGAACTCCAACAGATCATCCTGCAGTTAGCTGTCAATTGCATGGGTGTATTTAGGACAGACGAATAGGTTGAACATAGAACCAGGTATTACTGCATAATGGTCCAAGTTGCCACACGTAATGTTAGCACACTAAGCAAAAAAGCGAGAAAATTGTGATAAGATAACAAAGAGGAAGTAGAAAATACAGAATTCAGTATGACGATTGAGATAGTGCGTTAAAACATCCGAGCCACTGATATCGGTTCTTAACCGTGTCATCTAGAGTTCCCAGGTTCACAGTCTCATCAAGTGACTCGTCTCTTCGCCTAGACTGTACACGCGATTTCTATATGACTGACGTTGTGACACCGTGGCACACGGCTTGTACTACTCAGGTGATGGTGGTTGAAATCCTGAGGCCTTCATATATCCTGTACCATTAAGGATCATGTTTAACAGTTGTGTAGTAGAACAGACTGAACTGTAGCACAGGACACTGAATCCATGAAAGAAAGTCGGATATTATGGTTGGATCGGAGATGGCATAATTTGGCGAAAGAGGAAGGAATGTTTTGTATCGGTGTAGATAATACGTCGGTCACTGATCAACGTACTAGGGTTGATTCGACTTCTCAAGTAAGTGGAGTTTTCATTGCGCGTAACTGCTTCTCTCTCTGTTAGACACGGCATCAGTGTAGGTCAGTCCTGGAGCAGCGGTTCTCATTTGATTGACGGGAAATGCATCTCGAGCATCCAAATTTCCACTCAAGTTATCCAGAAGACTGCGTCTTACCACGGTCTTTTCCTCACGAGACTATGTCATCTGTATACTCCAGATCTTCTAAGGATTCTCCTTTGACATAGTCTATGCCTGTGAAATCAGATGACGAGAAGGAGGATTCCATAAGAACTATGATAAAGTTGAATAAGAATGAAGAGTGGACATCCTTGACGGACACCATGTCCTGCTAAATCAAAATACTGACAAAATATATGGCCTTTTGAACTCGTGGAGAAGAAATCTGAGTGTACTATGTGTTCCGCACCTTTCAAGTGTAAGATGATGCTTCAGGACTGATCTGCACCCACTCTTTGTTTTATGATACGGAATGAAGTGGAGTGCGTCGACCACTTCAATTACTTGAGGAGTTGCATTAACTCGAACGGGTTGGTTGCTGACGTGATCTGAGCTTGGACACAAGACCAGTTTGGCATTTGCCTACTTATGTTATGCGTGGCACCGACTAGGGTGATATCCGACTATCTATCAAAGGATGAGTATACCGTGCTACAGTTTATTCCGTCCTGTTATTCGACTGTGAGACATGGTCGTTAAAGGTAGAAGACATGAGGCGGCTTTCGTTCACAGATATCTTCATACCAAATGTTTGCCAGTGAACCGTTTGTGTTTTACATGTTGCTGAATGCGGATGGTTTCCTAGTTTATAGCGTTTCTCTTTGAATTCTGTCATCTGATTTCCAAGTTTTTTGCTGTTGATATTTTGTAGGGATGTAAGCTTAACGACGTTACTGTGGTGTATACGAAATGGGAAAACTTGAAAAAAACCAATGACATGGATATTGGTCAAGTTGGTTTCCACAGCAATAAAGCAGTTCGTAAAATCGTGGTTGAAAAACGTATTGGAGATATAATAAAACGACTTGACAAGACAAAAAAGCAACGCCACCAGCCTGATTTACGGGGTGAACGCGAGGAAAGAGACAGTCGTATGAGAAATAAGGAAAAAGCTGCTCTGGCTGCACGTAAGAAAGCCGAAACTGAAGCTCAAAAAGTTCGTGCGGCTGAAGCCGAAAAACGGTCTTACGACCGTCTATTCGTTGAGAGTAAGATGAGGACAAATGAAGATGGTTATGACTCAGATGACTTTATGTGAATAATTATAAATATTCATATCTTAATCACTTCTCACTGCCGAAAAATCCTTCATTTGTTAACATTTAAATTTATTTGTCTGCCTCTCGAGTACTTGTTCGCAACCACTAGTCAAATTTACTTGTAACACTGAATGGTCGTTTCCACTGTCGTACACTTTTGTTTATCTACCTTAATGTTACTTTTTCTCCCATACGCTTAATCTTTGCAGGCTGTTGTGAAGTATGTGGTGACTTGAACCAGTCCATTTCTGCACCTGGTTCTGGATTGATTTGTCTGCCTTTCCATGATTGAAGGAGTTATGGATTGACATCTATTTGTTGTATCAGACTAAAAGCAATTTTTAATGATCGAAAGGCTTTTAGGCTGTTTACTGAAGTACTTTTATGTATATAAGATGGTAAGATGTATATAAGATAGTACACAGGATGGTTTGATGTCCGAAGACTTTTGGTTTTGATTTTTTCCTTTCCAGATGAATGAACCGAATAATCTTTTCATTCATTAGGCTATATGTTTTTGCAGGGTGGTATCAGAATTTAATAGGACGTTTTTTCTCTCCTTAGATGTATATTTTAATAGTACTGTGGTTTTACCATGATTACAATATTGACTGGATAATTAATGTGTTGTTTTGTAACTAACAGTATTTCCACACATTTATACAAGTATGTTCTCGATTGACATAGTGTGAAATGAGCTGTCTTTTTTAACAAACCTAGCTATTCACTCATTTCTTATGTTTGAATACTCAAACTTTCTAAATCCATAAGTAATCATAGTGAACGTTGCTCATTCCTGTATATAGTGCTTTAGCATAGCACTGTGCTCTCGGGAACTGCGTAATATAGCATATGCATAATCCCTATGCTCACTGTGATATTTGCTGTGGGTTGGGGTGTAGAACCAGTTAATTAGTAATAAGTTTGTTTGCCTGCGTCGTGTCCTATGAGTTGCGTAACATGAACAAGTTCATAAGCATTTTAGATTTATCAGTCACTTATGCAAAACATCTTATTAGGGTGTTGTGTGAACAACCAGACAAAATCGATGCAGAACTCCGCACACAAGTTCATTGGCTTATGCTGCCATACTTTACAGTGTTATACAAAGAATAAGTGGATAAATGAGGGGTAATATGAAAGTAGACAAAGTTGTGTGAGAGAATAAGCAATTTGAAGATGAAAGTTAATGCAAATATTCAAGCTTTAGAAGACGCCAAAAAGTGAATACATCTGCGCTGTTGTGGCCGGTTTTCAGCCATGTCATCAAGAGTCCTCACCCACTTATTCTTATCGTCTTGCGGACCCCAGTCAGGTAGTGTACACCTCCATCCACGGCTAAGACCATCAGTCAGGGACTTCATGCTCTAGTAGCGCACCTTGATATAGCCACTATGGGCTTTCTCACAACCTAATGCAACTTCCGCTAGGATTGTACGTCGAGGTATACGATAGCTCGGTATACGCAGTACCATATACAAGGCATCTCAGTCGATGAAAGTTCACAACCTTATGGGCTGACTTGTCTGTCTTAGTAAGTTTCTCCTGACCTCTACATTGCTCACACGGTGATCCCACCGAACGCATGCAATGCTATGAAGACACGTGATCAAAATCCTGTAACTGTTTCATGTCTTCTAGCTTTAACGGCCATGTCTCACAGCCACATAGCAGAACAGAACGAACTTTAGTGCAGTATGCTCATCCTTTGATAGGTAGTCGGATATCTCGCCACTAAGCAACACTTCACTCCCTATCATTAAATTGGGAGTAGACAGACTAGTCCTGGAGCATCATCTTGCGTTTGACAAGTGTGAAACGCATGGCAAACATACTCAGATTTCTCAACGCGTTCATAAGACCATGCATTTTGTCAGCCTCTTGACGTAGTAGGACATGCTTCATCTGTATACTGCAGGTCAGCCAGATGACTTCCAGGGAGTAGACCAATACGTGTGAAGTCAGAGGTGTATAACGTTCTATCCATTAGTAGGTCTATGACGAAGTTAAATAGAGGTGGTGACAGTGGGCATCCCTGGTGGACATCATTAGTTGTCGTCAATTCACATGACAACTCTCCGTAACCCCTTACATGGTTGGCAGAGTTTAAGTAGAGGGCTTTTATTAGCGTTATATACTTTCTCGGTACTATCTTCACAATCAGACACTGCCACAAAACCTCGTGGTCGACTGAGTCAGATGCCACTTCCCTGTCAATGATTATATACGCATAAAATGGTATGTTCCTAGATTATACTCATCAAGTGGTGTCCGTCAAGGATGCCCACTATCCCCATTCTTATTTAATTTTATCATAGATATTCTTATGGAGGTTTCCATCTCGTCACCTAATTACAAAGACGTTGACCGGATCACAGGTGAATTTTCCTTAGATCTAGAATATGCAGATGACATAGTCCTGTTAGGTGAAGACGCTGACAAGATGCAGAGTCTTCTGAACACTTTGAGTGGGAATTTGAGAATGTTTGGGATGCGATTTTTACCACCCAAATGCAAATTTTTGCTCCAGGACTGGTCTTCAGCGGTACCGCGGTTAACAATAGAGAGTGAAGTGGTTGAGTGTGTTGACCACTTCACTTACCTGGGAAGTAGGATCAACCCTGGTGGGTTAGTTGCCGATGAGATTTCGGCACGGATACAAAAGGCTCGATTGGCTTTTGCCAATTCGCGCCACCTATGGCGCCGCCGTGATATTCGTTTGTCTATTAGGGGTCGCGTGTACTGCACAGCAGTCCGCTCTGTTCTACTGTATGGCTGTAAAACATGGCCATTGAAAGTGGAAGACATGAGAAGGTTACAGGTATTTGACCACCGTTGCCTTCGTAGTATAGGACGTATTCCGTGGTGTCACCATGTGAGTAATGCAGAAGTTAGGTGTAGAGTTTTGGGGAGAAGAGGTAAGTCAGTTGACGAGGTTGTGAACCTTCATCGACTGAGATGGTTGGGACACGTACTACGTATGCCTAGTCACCGATTGCCTCGTCACACAATGTTGGCTGAGGTGGGTTCAGGCTGGAAAAAGGCCCGAGGTGGCCAGACTAAAACATGGCACCAATGTATGAAGTCTCTGACTGTTGGTCTAAGCCATGTAGGACGATGCAGACTAGGTGGTTGGGGTCCACGGGACAAGAGGAACCAGTGGTTGGAGACCCTAGGTGATATGGCTCAGAACCGAAGTCAGTGGCGCAGATGTATACACACATTATCCTCATCTTAACAACGCTATACCGAATCTCACTATTTTGTCACTCCTCTTTCCTTTCTTCTCGTACTTTATATTTCTTTTGACTGCATTCACTTATCTTCATCCTTCACCTCACTACCTTTTACTTGATGTGCTGATATGAGGTGTGGCAACTCGGACTGTTACGCAGTAATGCCTGGTCCTATGTTGATAATGATGATGATGTTCCTAGATTCTAGTCTGTGTATACTATATTATCCAACAAACTGCTGAATTACTATCTCAATGTGTATACGTAGTCATTGTAAAGAAATTAGTAGTAATGCAACTCATCTATCAAACAGAAGCATACGTACACAGGTCGGTGGTGTACACTTTCTGTGTAAGGTCTCCTGGTGCTGTTTGGTTTCTTTGGCGGAAATAGGTAGGACGAGATTTGGAGCTTGGCTATAATGCTTGAAAGCTTAGCGCTCAAGCCAGCAATCTACTGGAATATAAGTAACGCTTCAGCTATCCGTTAGCTGTGTGCAAGATTACCGGAATTTCCATTCTGAAACATGTATTCGTGCGATTAGTTTTGGATCATTTAGTTAACAGTTTAACCAAATAGTAAAAGCTAAAGTGTCTGTCTTAATTCAATGGCGACTTCGTACTCACATTTAATTGTTCTAGTTAATCACCATTTTTAGCGATTTCCATTATCATTAAACATACCTGATGGCCAGAATTAAGCAACTTTCTACACTCTTCAACTTACTGATTTTTAATTCAGTTGTTAGTAGAGAGACAAAAGTATTTGTCCTTTTTACAGGGGACAAAACAATGCATCTAATCACCGACATCACTTAGGAAACTGCGTTCAAAGTGTTAGCTAACTATATGCTTATACCAATTATCATGTGTTAGCCAGGTCTCCTGAAATAAATAATTCAGTCCTTATGACTTCTTTAGGAAGTACAACGCTTACAGGGACTATAGACTACACATTCATTGCACGAAGCTAACATTAAGGAAACGTGTGTCATGATATTTCACAGTAGAAAAATCCGTCTTTAGCTTGTATTCCATGGGTTGGAATGTAAGAATTGTGAAGTATTCTAATTGAAATCACTTTTCAAGCGCTCACTCTTTGGATCTCTTTTCTGTGTTGACAACTCCATATGAAACTAATCGTTTTTTCTTGCATACTTTCCGTTGAATGAGAATGCTTTAAAGTTATCTTTTGGGGAAGAGGTGATAACGAAGATACGGCGCTTTTTATGCAGTTAGGATGTGCGGAATGGATTTGTTTTTCAGACTCAATAATCTAGTCATGTTACGTTGCTAATGTTATGCATCCTTTTGACTTCGATACCAATAGCAATATAGAAATAGCTTTGAGGTGTATTTGTCATCAAATAGTTTTATGGATAGTTTTATCTCACTTTATGATACGTTGTCGGCTCATCATCATCGACATAGGATCAGGGATTGGTACATAATGGTCCAAGTTGCCACACGTAATGTTAGCACATCAAGTGGCGAAGCACTAAAGTAAAAGGTGAGGAAGAAGCAGTCAAAGTGGTAGAAACTTGTGATAAGATAACAAAGAGGAAGTAGAAAATACAGAATTCAGTGTGACGATTGAGATAGTGCGTTAAAACATCCGAGCCACTGATATCAGTTCTTAACCGTGTCATCTAGAGTTTCCAACAACTGGTTTCTGTTGTCATATGGATCATAACTGTGAAGTCTACATTTAACCGCACGGCTCAAACCACGGGTCAGAGATTTTATACACTGATACCATTGTTTAGTCTGGTTACCTCTTACCTTTTTGTAGCGTAAACCTAATTTAGCTAACATTGTGCGAGGAGGGAGGCTAGGCCTATGTAACACATATTCCAACCATGTGTTAGTCGACGAAGGTTCACGGTCTCATCAAGTGACTCGTCTCCTCGCTTAGACTATACACGTGATTTCTGTATGACTGACGTTGTGACACCGTGGCACACGGCTTGTACTACTCAGGTGATGGTGGTTGAAATCCTGAGGCCTTCATATATCCTGTACCATTAAGGATCATGTTTAACAGTTGTGTAGTAGAACAGACTGAACTGTAGCACAGGACACTGAATCCATGAAAGAAAGTCGGATATTATGGTTGGATCGGAGATGGCATAATTTGGCGAAAGAGGAAGGAATGTTTTGTATCGGTGTAGATAATACGTCGGTCACTGATCAACGTACTAGGGTTGATTCGACTTCTCAGGTAAGTAAAGTGGTCGGCGCGCTTAATTGCTTATCTGCCATCAGCAAAGACCGGTTATAGAAAAAGAATTTGAAGGTAGTTCGTTAGGTGATGTATAGGTATCTAATATTTATGTGTTACGCAATCCTCATATCGGTTTTGGGTAGTTGAGAACGTATTTGCTAACCATGGGTATTGATGGAAATTGACCCAAAGGACCGAGTTCCAACGGTAGGAGATTTGTCACTTAAAATACCTTCAGTTGAATGGAATTTAGATTTACTTTGAAATGTTGGTAGTGATACTCTTGCGAATTGACTTGAATGAAGTTAGTAAACCAGTGACTTTTCGAGGCATATTGTCGACTGTCATTGTTAGTTGACAATTTTAATGTCAAAC